ATCATGTACACCCCAAAGTTAATAATAAAATTTACACAATTCATCCATAGTAAATATTAAGACAAAGGGCAAAGAAAATATTATGCAACATAATTTTTGTATGTGCAACATTTAGCACTTTAAACAAAGCACTTGTAAAAAGGCTTCAAAAATCAAACATGATATGGCTTACTGGGAAGTCAATAAGTCAAGCAATGCAATGTTACAGATTTGATATAATTACTGAAACCAATCATATATTAAACTCCCTAACAAGAGAAATTTCTCAAGAATTCTCAAAAACTCATTTACAAAGGCTGCAACAAAAGTGAAAGTGTGACATATCATTACTTTATCATGCTAATCTGCCATTTAAAGGCACACCAAATGATGTGAACGGTTCACCATTCTTTGGTACCATTGTCCAAGTCCTCCAGAATATGTGAGGAGACATAGCCTTTGGCTGAATTCAACCATATTGACATAATCTTAACTATCCAAATATATCAACCAAACAAATGGATATTCTGAGGCAATCTCCTCACTCTAAAAAGACTGATTGAATCATTTAATTATTCTTTTTATAACAAATTAAACACCTTAGAGTTGAAATAATGAGGAAAGCAGTCAAACTCCAACTATGGTTATCCCCCTATACGATAAAATCAAAATTTTAAAATTTATGAAACCTATTGAACCTACAAACAAAAACTTCACAACAATTGACAGCACCTTGAATCAATTAATTCAAAGAAGAATAACCAAGTTAAATCAAAGAAAACAAATCAAGTATTTGTCATCAATTGGCAAGGCAGAAAAAGCATCTTTGTTCCAATTCAAGAGTCACACCTCGTACATATAATCCTCAATAGAAAATAATAGCAGCCCGCCCAGCTCCAACCCCCTCCTTTTATACATAACCTTCGAAAGGCAATTTGAAAACAAGGTATCAAGCATAAAAGTGAAATAATATCTCAAACTCAACAGCAAAAGTAGATAGATTTCAACAAAAATCAAATCATAAAAGCTTAACAAATAACACATGAAGCCAGATGCTTCCTATGCTACTACAACTTTCAAAAAAAAAAATGGATGAATAAATACAAATTTTCTCAAAAGAAAAAAATCTTAGGTGATCACTTAGAGACAACCCTGAAAAAATAAAAGAGAAGCTAGTGCAAAAATATGATACCATATTGAAAAGCTTCTTTCAATTTCTCCTTAATCTGCTTTGAAAGCTCTAGTACTTCTGCTGTCTGTAACATCAACATGGAAAATAAATAAATCTGTAAGTCCCAAGTGGGAAAAAGGTCAGACAGATAAGATTAAGACTTATCCAAAACCTGAGTAACTTCAGAGACTGATATAGCAATAACGGCCTTTGCATCCTCATCTTCAAGACACTTGAGAGCTCTACCAATTTTCCTATCACACTCAACAATAAGCCTGTCAATAGCCTCTTCCAACTCCCTGTCATAATTATCAATGCCTTTGGCCTTAGCTTATTTATATCTAAGAAGGCTTAAGCAATCGCAGATGCAGAGATACAGAAACTACTAAAAGTGAATAGCAAAGGCATATTATCAGCAGAGACATTACTTTTGAAAAACAAACATAAAGTACCTACCACTAAAAAAGCACCCATCCAGCATTGTGAGTAATATAAGGATACTCTCTCCTCAGCTACAAAGAGTCGACCTTTGGACATGGCCCCATATCCATTTTCTGAACAAGAGAAACCACAAGATTGAAATCAGAAATCATAAAGTCTCAATAACCTAAAAAGAAAACAAGGGGAAACAACAAGTTTGAAATCAGAAATCCCAAAGTCTCAATAACTTGCAGAGAAAACTATAAACAGGTATCCGCAACTCAAATGTGACCAAAAGCTAAAGTTGAGCATATAAGAGTTTACCACATAAGAACAATGATACCTATGAATACTACAAGATCATATAGTCTCCACCTAAGAAACTCACCAAAATACCTTCCTCAACACCTAAAATGATACGTGTCAGACCAGTTGGCAATAAAAAATGGACTGTAAAGGAGAAACTAATTAAATTTATAAAGAAACATGGATCATAACCAAAAATACCTAGTTTATTTGTCTTACATCTTACACACCGGCGATAAATAGAGAATTTAATGCTGTAGCACGATTTTTTTTATGACACCTCACAGGTAACCAGAATAAGTAATTGAAAGTAAACAGATACGGCATCCCTATCATTTGAATTTATATCTCTTCCAAATATACCCATGATAAAATAGAAAACTTATATCCATGACCCTTGTTCTAATTTATACAGATAATAAGTTACCAAACTAACCCAAAAATAGCTAATAATAACATACCTTTGTTATTCATGCACAACTACCACTTCTTTTTTCTTGTTCTTTATATTTCATTAAAAACCATTTTCAAAATGCTTCCAGTAGCAGTCTTCATAAATACATGTAATTCAAGCTTACCACTAATTCAACAACTGTCCTCTCTCCCTTTATCTCAGAATCCCATTTTTCACAATAAAACAAATGACACAGCTTTCAATTCATCTCTTCTTAACTAGGAGTTAGGGCATAACAAAAACCAGATGATGTGTTGCTCCCACACTCACGCCAACTAAACCAATCTCTCTTTCTATACTTCTCCTGCTTCTAAAACACCAAATTCCTCAGAAACCAAACACAGATAAGCAATTCAAATGCATAAACTAGGGTTCAAAAGGAAAGAGATGGATATGAATCATTTAACAATTAACGAATCATAAAGAAAAGATTAAAAAAAATTAAGGAATCAATCAGGAGAATACCGTTAATTGGAAGAGTTTGTGAGGCCAAAGGCTAGATAAGTAGAGGCGGCACACATCGCGATCGTAGTACTTCCGATTCACCTCCCTTACGTCGCCAATACGGTACGCACCCATCAGCACATCGAGCTGCTTCCGAAGTGTTACTGCACTTCCTAAAATGACTTGGTATTGATACTTACGGTTACAGAGTGGTCATGAATCTAAAAAGCCCAATGCTAATGGTTCTAAAAATCGAGATTAAGGAGATTGCGGCTCACGATCACTTTCTTGTGAGATTTGGCAGTGAGTTGGGTCTATTATAGTATTATATATTTATATATGCTTCAATCTTCTCTGCAGTCTACATATGTCTAATAAAAGGACATCTATCTCAGTCTCTTGTATATGTAGTCATATTCGGAATCGGGATGTTTTCTTAATTAATTCCTTAGTTGCCACATTGTTTGGCACCCAAAATGTTACCTCATTTCCTAAAATTGATATATATATTTTTTGTCCATTTACAAATTCATGTGCGACTTTAGACTTGTGTTATGGTGTTTAATTTATTCCATTACAGCAGTTCAGTTTGGCTTTATCACTATTACAGGCACAATATATTTGCTTCTCTTGTTACTCGTTTCGTATTCAATCTTGCCCTTTTGCTTTTCTGGATTCTGTCAATTATCAAATACTAGTTGTAAAAGGCAATTTCCAAATTTTGATGTATTAGTAGTCTAAGAAGGTAACTTAAATTACTAAATAAATTAAAGAAAAAGTACTTACGACTTGCTATTAAACATGTGTGTTTTATAAGTAGAGTTCGCATATTTTTATTTTGTTTTGCTTTGCTTTTTCTTTTTTTTTTTAATCTTAAGTAGAGTTATGTTTTGTAGAATAAAAATATTGAGCAAAGTATTATACCCCGTGGCCATAAGTATGATTAAAAAAAAGATTTTTTTTTTTTTGTGAGAAGTAATAAAACAATGATAAAATTAGTTGACGTTTGCTAAACACTTAGCCTTAAGCATGATTCTGGGCCCAGACAAGATTTATTAGCAATTTTTTTATAACCTTAATATAATATTTGTAACTGTTTATTTGCTTACGGTATACTTTTCAAAACTAATGAGTAAAATAGATAATAACATTCAAAACATATTATCTATTCTCTCATATTGTAAAATTCAAAGTTTAACAAATATATCTATGAAATACATGAAAAGTTAAGCATTCTTAAAATTTAATCTCAACTTTTATAAATTTTGTTTTTGTTTATTTTTAAATTGATAAGCTTTGAGATTTTACACATATAAAAACATTACTTCTTAAAATTTTTTCAATTAAAGATATTATTTTTTTATTAAATTAATCAAGATTATCACGTTTCAAATGTATTTAACCAAGGATATCACTTTTTCAATTTTACTATTCAATCATTAATTGAATGTCAATGTTGACTTGGCAAATGGATTTCGTCCGTGGGACCCACTAATTGCTGATGTGTAAAAAAATTGATAGGTGGCTGCCTTGACTTGGAGCTGAATAAATGGTGGTGTCGGCACTGAACTCTTTAGGAAAAATTAATTAAAGTTAGGATAAAAAAAATTAGTAAACAAATCCTGAAAAGATCGGAGAAACGTACAGAAACCCTCTAAAATAGCTTTTTAAAAGTTAAAATAATAATATTTTCACATCAATCTAAACATTAAAAAATTATAGAGAATTCAAACTCTTATTCTGTTTTTCATAATTGATTGAGAAAACTACATAACTTTGAAGAATAACTTATCACTAGAGATCTTTTTGTTTGTTATTTTCATAATGTCAAGGTAAAATTATTTATTTTATTTTTAATTTTTTGTAAATAACAATAATATTATTAATTTGAGTACAGTATGTACTTAATCTTTGTAATTTATCTCAAAATCCCTCTGCATTTTATTTACTGTTACATCCTACCATAAACTTGAATCACAATTTTTAATAAGAGTTTTTGTTCATTGTTGGAGGCACAATTTTTATTCAGGGTTTGTAGTGTATTAGTTACAGATTAAATCTCTATTTCTTTTTAAAATATTTGATTATGCATTATGTTATATTTTTTTGCTACTTAACACAAAATATCAAAATGGTAGGCATAACTTTTAAAAAAGTTATTATATTTAATAAATCTATATAATGTACCGTATTGTGTTTAACTAATCTATATATTCATTATCAGTTTATAATTTTTCTTTAATTTTATAATTTTTTTGTTAAAATGAAATAAAAGTAAAAAGGATTTTCCGACACAGGTTGGGTGCCGACACCACCCTTTTCAGTGTTGACACTGATGCATGTTGTCCGAATCAGTCCAAGTCCGAACAGCCACCTGTCAATTTTTTACACATCAGCAATTTAATGAACCCCACAGACGGAATCCGTTTGCCAAGTCAGTATTGGCACCCAATTACTCATTGAATCATAAAATTAAGAAGGTGATATCTTTACTTAAAAATTTTTTAAAAGTAATAATCTTAATTAATTAAATAAAAAGTGATATTTTTAATTAAAAAAATTTAAAAAAATAATGTTCTTATATGCATAAAATCTCGATAAACTTGCCTAGTTTGAGTTTGAGATGGGTAAAGAATAAATAATGATGGTAGGGTGAAAATTTGATATCAAAGTTTTAATTTGTTATTAAATGAGTTGACATATAATATTATGGATTTTAAAAAATAAAAATAATTAATTATTAAATAATATAATATTTAATACTTTAAATAATATAATTTATATTACATTATTAATCCCAAATTTTGATTCCACATGTCATTACTGGTAAAGAGTACTTAAGCGGGAAGAGAAGTAAACCAAAAAAATCCTTTTGGTTCTTCATATGGACCTGGCCAGAAATCCTAGGCCTAAATATTGGTTGTTTTTGCAATCCATAAGTTCTCTCTTTTATTTGACGTAGGATGCATTAACTAGTTAGGCCACACAGGTACACCCCCTACGTAGATTTTGTGGGAAAACTAAGCCAGTGGTAGCTCACAAGGAACGCACGATACGGTACGTGTTGGGCTTAAACCTCAAACCCAAAGCTTAAGCTAGTGGGACAGAGAGTTAGATTCACATGTCACTCACTGACTGATTTTAAACAACTTTGATAATTTTATCAAATGCATTATGTGGTTACTATTAAACAAAAAAAATATCAGAATGTCTTTTTTTTTTCTATATATATAAGAAAAATTTATTCACATATAAGTTTTATATATTATACTTAACATAAAATTTTGATTATCTATTTCTCTACTTTTAATTATTAAAATTTATCATAATTTTTTAAATAAAAAAATAATTATCTTGAATAAATATAAATAAATTTCAACTATTAAAAATAAAAAAATAAATGGTTAAAAGTTTATATAAATATAGTAGATAAAATTTATATGTAAATAAATTTCTACTCATATATATATATATACATATTTGCCACAACAGCTTCATCCTTGGCGGTTCAATTGTTTCCTCATAAGCTGGATTCAAATTATGTTGTTAGGTTACACAAAAGATTACTTCAATTCCCAAAACTACTCATCTTAAATTTCCCAATTCATATGTTACTTGCGCTAATGGTGTTTAGTTGTAGTGGACAAATAATATGTATTCGATCTATTGCGGCAGGTCAATTCAGCTTTAGGCTTTATATTATCATTTTTGTCTTATATTATTACAGGCGTCTTAATCTTGCCTTTTTCCTTTTAAGGATTTATTCTATTAGGCGTCTTAATATCTATGAAATAAACCTGTGCCAGTTGGCTGGTTTCGTTGAGATGTGTAGAGAATTTGTGAAAGAGTAGGAAAGTGTAATGGACCAGACAAGTTTTTGGTTCTTCAACTGGGCCAGCCCAGAAAATTCTTGGGCTGAATGTTGGCTGCTTTGTATTTCTTTCTTCTTTTTTAGTAAATGGTTGCTTTGTATTACACTGTATATTTACTTATTTTAGGACAAAGACATGGATTCTTCACTTGTCACTAACAGACTTTATTATATCCCAAAAGATTGGCAACATGTTTACGATCCTATTTCCCTTGGATTAGGTTTTTCAACAGCATTTTAAGTGTGATTAATGACAATTTAACTACAGCCAAAAAATATATATACATGT